CCCTATTGCTGATATGGAGAACGTCTGTGTGGTCTGGATAGAAGGTCAAACCAGCCACATTCCCTTAAGCCAAAGACTACTCCAGAGAAAGGTCCTAACTCTCTTCAATTCTGTGAAGGTGGAGAAAGGCGAGGAAGCTATGAAAGAAAAGCTGGAACCTCAGAGATGTTGGTTCGTGACTTAAGAAAAGAAGCTGTCTCCGTAACATCAAAGTGCCAGGCGAGGCAGCTGGTGCTGATGGAGAAGCTGCAGCAAGTTCTCCAGAAGACTGAGCTGAGATAATGCAGGAAGGTGGCAACACTGAACAACAGATTTCCAATGTAGACAAAGCAGCCTTCTATCGGAAGAAGATGCCATCTAGGACTTTCATAACTAGAGAGAAGTCAATGCCTGGCTTCAAATCTTCTAAAGACAGGCTGACTCAGTAAGGGCTGGTGACTTTAAACTGAAGCCAATGTTCATTTACCATTCCAAAAATCTTGGGGTCCTTAATAATTATGCTGAATCTACTTTGCCTGTATTCTATAAATGGAACAATGAAGCCTGCGTAATAGCACATCTGTTTACATCATACTATTTAAGTCAATTACTGACGTACCACCCAGATTAAGATTCCTGCTCATTCACCAGGAATACACCTGGTCACCCAAGAGCTCTGATGAAGATGGACAATGAGATTAATCTTGTTTTCATGTCTGCCAACAAAATATCCATTCTGCAGCCCAAGGAGCAAGGAATAATTTTGATTTTCAAGTCTTACTATTTAAGAAATACATTTTAGGGGTGTCTGGGTGGCTCAGTCAGTTAAGCATCTGACTCTTGATTTCAACTTAGGTCATGATCTCGTGGGTCATGAGATCAAGCCCTGTGTTGGGCTCCAAGCTGGGCATGGAGCCTGCTTAAGCTTCTCTCTATCCTTCTCCCAATGCCCCTCCCCCCACTTGCACTCCCCCCCCCTCTCAAAAAAGAGAAAAAAAGAAATACATTTTAGAAGGCTATAGCTGCCATAGATAGTAATTTCCCTGATAGACCTGGGCAAAGTAATTCAAAACCTTCTGAAAAGGATGCCCTATTCCAGATTCCCATGTAGTTCATGGGAAAAAGTCAAAATACCAACATAACAGGGGTTTGGAGGAAGCTGACTGCAACCCTCATGGAGGACTTTGAGGGGTTCAAGACTTCAGGGGAGGAAGTCACTGCAGATGTGGTGGGAAGAGCACGAGAACTAGAACTGGAAGTGGAGCCTGAGGATAGGACTGAACTGCTATAATCTCATGATGATAAAACCTGAACAGATGAGAAGTTGCTTCTTATGGATGAACAAAGAAAGTGGTTTCTTGAAATGGATTCTGCTTCTGAAGATGCTGTGAAGATTGTTGAAAGGACAAGAAAGGACCCAGACTGTCACATAAACTTGCTGATTAAGCAGCAGCAGGGTTTAATAGGACTGACTCCAATTTTGAAGGAAGTTCTGTGAGTAAAAGGCTGTCAAATGCTACAGAGAAACTGTTCGTGAAAGGAAGCATTGACTGATGTGGCAAACTTTGCATTGTTGCCACAAGAGATTGCCCCGGCCACCCAACCTTCAGCAACCACCACCCTGATCAGTTCACGGCCAACAACACTGAGGCAGGACCTTCCACCAGCAAAAAGATTACAGCTCCCTGAAAGCTCAGACAATGATTAGCATATTTTAGCAATAAAGTATTTTTAAATTAAAGTACGTACTATTTTTTTCTATAGATATAGTGCTAGTGCACACGTAACAGACTACAGTAAGGTGTAAACGTAACTTTCATAAACACTGAGAAACAAAAAAATTCATCTGACTCGCTTTATTGTAACATTTGCTTTATTGTCATGATCTGGAACTGAACCTGCAATATCTCTGAGGTTTGCCTGTATCTGACAAAGAACTATAATCCAGAATATACAAAGTACTCTCAAAACTCATCAGTAAAACCACAAGCCAGTTAGAAAATGGGCAGAAGACAAAAAGAACCACTTCAACAAAGAGCAAAACAAGACAGCAAATATATAGTTGAAAACATTTTAAACACCATTAGGGAAATGCAAATTAAAATTACAGCAAGGGTGGCTCAGTTGGTTAAGCATCTGCCTTCAGCTCAGGTCATGATCCCAGGGTCCTGATACTGAGTCCCGCATTGGGCTCCTTGCTCAACGGGGAGCCTGCTTCTCCCTCTGCCTGCCACTCCTCCTGCTTGTGCTCTCTCTCTGACAAATAAATAAAATCTTAAAAAAAATAAATTAAAAAAAATAAAATGACAGCAAGCTATCACTACATACCTATCAGAATTTTTTTTTAAGATTTTATTTATTTAATTGAGACGGGGGCTGGGGGAGAGAGAAAACACATAAGAAGGAGGTGGAGAGGCAAAGAGAGAGAGAGAAGCAGACTCCCTGCTGAGCAGGGAGCCCGATCTGGGGCTTGATCCCAGGACCCTGAGATCATGACCTGAACCGAAGGCAGATGCTTAACCAACTGAGCCACCCAGGCGCCCCATCAGAATTTTTTAAAGAGAGAGCGAGAGAGCAAAGGAGCACAAATGGGGGGAGGGCAGAGGAAGAGGGAAAAGCAGACTCTCCACTGAGCAGGGAGCCTGACGCCAAGACTTGATCCCAGGACTCAGGGATCACAACCTGAGCCAAAGGCAGACACTTAACTAAGCCACCCCTCTCAGAACTGTTAAAACAAAAAATAGTCCTAACACAAACGATGGTAAGGATGCAGAGAAACTAGATGACTTACACATTATTGGTGGGAATACAAAACGGTGCATTCATAGCAGCTTATTTGTAATAGCCAAAAACTGCAAAAACCCCAGATCTATCAATGAATGGTTAAACAAACTATATATATATATAAATAAATAACACGGAACACTATTCAGGAACAAAAAGGCATGAACCACTTATACAGTAACTTGGATGAATACTCAGGTGTTATGTGTAGGGACAGAAATGAACCCCACAGGTGACATGCGTGTATCTCCATGTAACATGTCCGAACTGACAGTGGCAGAGCACAGAGGAGTAAAGAGGGTACGGTTATAAAAGGGCAACACGAGAGGTCCTTACGATGATGGAACTATACAGTATTTTGACTACAGTGGCAGATAAACACAAGCTACACAAGTGACAAAGTTGTACTGTACTAAATATATACCTGCAAACAAATGAAAAGAAGAAAACCTGGAGAAATGTTCCTAAGGCCTGTGATCAACGTCAATATCCTGGATGGGATATTTATACAATAGTTTTGCAAAATGTTACCATTAGTGAAAATTGGGTAAAGTGTTCCCTGGACTTGTATGTATTGTTTCTTAAAACTGCATGTGAATCTACATTCCTCTCATAAAAACTTCAATTTAAAAAAATAGCAAGATGGTAGATGTTCACCTAAGAACTTACTCCAAATAAAAGCATTAAGACAGAAGGCAGCGATTATCAGACAGGATAAGAAAGCAAGAGTCAACTCTACCCTATAGAAAAAATTCACTTTAAATTAAATGACAAATATAGACTAAAGAAAGATGGAATTAGACATAGCATGCAAACACTAATCATAAGCTGAAGTGGTTATATTAATATCAAAAAAAAGCAGATTTCAGGACAAGGAATTTTGCCAGGAATGAACAAGAAAATTACAGAATGAGAAAGAAGAGCTTCAAGTTGTATGACAAACCGACAATAGAAAAACACAAAGTCACAATGACAGCTGAAAACTTCATACCTGTCTCAGGAATTGATAAAACAATTGAAAGGGAAATTAAGCACAGATACGTATAATTTGCAAAACATTATCAACCAACTGACATTTTAGAACACCTCACCCAGTGACAGCGGAATACATAATCTTTTCAAGTTCACATGGAACATTCACCAAGAAAAACTTAAGGAAAATCATAAAGATTATATTCTCTGAACACAAACAAGTTAGAAATGAATAGAAAAGTATCTGAAAAAAAATCCCAAATATTTAGAAATCACACAACAGTTTTCTAAATAACCCATGGCAGGGGTGGGTTGAAAAACCTTAACGTAAATTAGAAAATATTTTTAACTAAATGAAAATGAACACATAACTTTCCAGAATTTCTAGATGCTGGAGTGAAATTCAGAACTTTAAAAGTTTATAATTAAAATGAAAATAGTATCGGGCGCCTGGGTGGCTCAGTCGTTAAGTGTCTGCCTTCAGCTCAGGTCATGATCCCAGGGTCCTGGGATCAAGTCCCACATCAGGCTCCCTGCTCGGCAAGAAGCCTGCTTCTCCCTCTCCCATTCCCCCTGCTTGTGTTCCTGCTCTCGCTATTTCTCTCTCTGTCAAATAAATAAATAAAATCTTAAAAAAAAAAAAATGAAAATAGTATCAAAACCAGTGAAAACCCAGCTTTCATTTTAAGAAGTTAAAAAAAGAACTAACCCCATAGTGAATGCAAACATAAAAATAGTAGCGAAGTGAACATAAGTCAATGAAATAAAAAAAGGACAAATAGAGAAAATCAATGAAACCAAAAGCTCATTCTTTTGAAAAACATAATCAGTGAAACTGATAAATTTCCTCCAACCCAATGAAGAGAAAACAAATTTTATCAATGTAAAAACGAAAGAGGGGTGATCAGTACAGATCATAGAGACATCATTCTTTATGAATAATGACACAACCGTCTTTAACGCAGAATCTGCAAATCAAACTCAGCAACATATAAATGATGGACCACAACCAAGTGGATTTTATTCCAGAAATACAAGGTTGTTTAAACATCTAAAAATATGTAAATGTAATTAATCATATCAGAAAAATTTAAAAAGGAATCATGTGATTATTAGATTTTTGTGCTTAAAAGGCCAAATGACAAAAATCAACATTTATTCATAAAACTCTCAGCTGACATGAAACATAAGGTAAACGATTCAATGCTGTCCCCTAAGACTGCAAGTAAGGCGAGGATGTCTTTTGTCACCAGTTCTCTTCAGCATTGTAGTGAGAATGCAGTAAAGGCAAAAAAAGAAAAAGAAAAAAAGAAAAAAGAAAAAAAATGTAAACAGCATAAAGATTGAAAAGAAAGAACCAAGTGCAGGAGGCATAATCATATACAATTAGAAAATTTTATGGACTCAAAAAAGCTACCAAAATGATGTTTATCAAGGTTACAGGAAACAAGGTCAATACACAAGGATCAACTGTATTGCTATAGATTAACAAAGAACTACTGAAAGTGAAATTACATAAACAATACTACTTATAATGACATCCAAATCAAGACAGACTTAGGGATAAATCTAACAAAACAATGTCTGTACTCAGGCAATACAAAACGCTGCTGAGAGAAATTAAAGACCTAATTAAATGGTGAGATAGAGCACATTCATGGATCAGAAAAGTCAGTATTAAGATGTCAACTTTTCCCAGACATACAGAATCAATAAAATCCTAAAAGCAATATGAAAGCAGCCTTTGTTTGTTTTTTTGTTTTTTTTTTAGAAACCGACAAGTTCATTCTAAAATGTATGTGGAAATGCAAAAGACCTGCAAGGGCCTAAACAGTTCTGGACAAGAGAACAAAGTTGAAGAATTGATACAATTTCATTTAAAGACTTATTAACAAAGATATGGGAATAAAGACAATGTAGAGAAGCTAAACAGATCAATGGGACAGGAAAAAGGACCCAAAGGTAGAAACCACCCCCCGACACACACAAAGACAAATAATCAATTGGATGTCTTAAAAGGTACCAAGGTAATTCAATGGAGAAAAGACAGTCTTTTCAACAAATGGTGCTGAAAAAACGGAATGTTCAAATGGAATAATATAAATTTTGACCCTTAAAACACTATACACAAAAATGTATTCCAAATAGATCATATACCTAACACGGAGCTAAAGCATTTAGAAAACAAGAGGAAAAATCTCTGATACTATTGGGTCTGCAAAGATTTCTTTTTTCTTTTTTTTTTTTAAAGATTTTATTTATTTATTTGAGAGAGAGAGAATGAGAGAGAGAGAACACATGAGAGGGGATAGGGTCAGAGGACAAAGCAGACTCCCTGCCGAGCAGGGAGCCCGATGCGGGACTCGATCCAGGGACTCCAGGATCATGACCTGAGCCGAAGGCAGTCGCTTAACCAATTGAGCCACCCAGGCGCCCCTGCAAAGATTTCTTAAAAAAGATTAAAACTGGTAAGCTGGACTTTATCAAAATGAAAAACTTCCACAAATCCACAAACGGGGTACAGATTGGGGAAAATATCCAATCAATAAAAAATCTTTATAACTCAAAAATAAGACAACCTACAAAGTGGGCAAACGATTTAAACAGATGCTTCACAAAATAAGATACACAAATGGCCAGTAAGTAAGTGAAAGATGCGTAACATCATTATTTATCAAGGAAATGCAAATGAAAAGCACAGGGAAATGCCACTATGCACATTAAAATGGCTGTATTAAAAAGTAACAATACCAAGTATTGACAAAAATGTGAAATAACTACAGCTCTCACACACTGGTGACAGAAATGTAAATGGAATAACCACTTCAGAGAAGTCTGACATTACATATACTAATCCTACAAACTGAAAAACTTTGCTCCTAAGTATTTACCAGAGAGAAATAAAAACATGCCTACATTAAAATGCACATGAAGTTCACTGCAGCTATGTTCATAACAACCAAAAACTGGAAAGAGAATGGATACACTGTAATTAAGCATACAATAAAATATGACTTAATAAAAAACAAAGGAGTTACTGACAGATGCTAAAACATGGATGCATCTCAAAATCATGCTGAATAAAAGACAAGGAAGAGGACATCTTGGATATCTCCATTTATGTGAAATGATATTTTAAAAAATCAGTCTAACCAAGTTACTGAAAGCAGATCATTGGTTGCCAGGGGCCGTGGTGGGGGGCGAGTCCCAGAAGTGACTGGGAAAGGGGAATGAGAAACCCTTCTGGGTAATGGGTGTTGTCTCTCTAAACTGTAGCAGTCATATGTATGAGTATACTCTTATTAAAACTTGAGTTGGTATATTTAACCATATTTAAATTATTGCCCAGAGTTGATTTTTAAAAATTTGGGAACATTATTATTTTAATAACAAAGCTCTTAAATTTTGAAAATCATAAACAGGAAAATAGACAATATTGTTATAGTCATATATCATGCTTTATTAAAATGCATCAACTAAAGCTAAATATGTCAATATGTATAAATATCAAAACCATGCACCTGAAGACAAAAGCAAGTTGCAAAACATGTGTTCCCACTGATATACAAGCAAAACAATGTTAGACACACACACAGAGAAATACATGTAAAATATTACTGTAAAAGTAATGAGATGTGAGATCAATATTAACGAAATTTAGAAAAGTGCTGAAGGTGATAGAAGTTATAGGATATGGAATGGATTTGAGGATGGTATGCAGATACTTCAACTATTCTCGTACATTACTTCCAACCTGCAGCAGACACAGCAATGGTTATGATATTCCTCATAACTGGACACACCCCCTGGAAAGGTGGGCTATCACTGGGTCAATAGGCCTGAATTCAAGAAAGTTGAGCTATGATGAGCTTCCTGGAAATTTCAGCTGGGACACGAAGGTCATATGCCCTACAGTAGTCTACTTTCATTAACACACTCAATGTTTCTTCTGGTTCCTGAACCTAAGAAGAGGAAGCAGATACGTCCTCCAGACTGTCCCTGGCTGCTGGCAGTGTACATTCTGGTATGAGTCTAGTCCACGGGGAGAACCCCTCGAGTAGACCCCAGGATGAACCAGACCATCAAGCATTCTTCGCAGAGGTAACAGCATAGTTTGGGGACAGACTAATCAAAAACCCATGATGGCTCATGCTAGGGAGGGCCACGGGGTGACATGTGTTTCTCCCAAAGTGAAATCAGAGTCTGAGAAGATTATTCAGTTTATTTGTTCTTTTCAAAAAGCTTCGCATTCCAGTTAATGTTTTTAAAAATGTCTATCTTCAGCTTTACTTCTATTAAAAAATTTGAGATTAGAGAAAAACATAACTAAGAATAATGTATCTAAAGGACAATTTCTGTCCATATTTCCTAAAGACATACTTCCTTCAATAAAATCTTCACATATAATAAAGTCTGAATTTTGTTAAAGTCTGCACATTCAAAACATCTTTATGACTTCCTCCAATATCAATTGTCTTGCTGAACAAAATGGCATTTCTTGATAAAGGCTCAACCACATTTGCTGCATTCTTTGGGTATCTTCCCTATTATTTCCCTGACATACATTGAGTACAACTTGTGTAAGAAGGTCTCAAAAAAATACAAGATGTTGACATTTTTTCCCAAGTGTGGTCTGATTGTTATTTATGGCCAAATTCTGGAAGAACATTTTCACTCATCTGTTTGATTGACAGGATTATCTCCTATGTAAGTTCTTTAATAAGCTCTACTTCATAATAAAAATAATTCCCCATATTTCCTACATGCATTAACAGGGTTTCTTCTACAGTCACTTTTAGTTGTCTTACTTACAACAGATTTTTAAACATTCACCAAATTCAGAGTATTTTCCACTATGAGTATTCTCGTTTACTTTGGAAGATGACTTATGGTAAAAGATTTGCCATTCTGCACATTCATAGGAGTCATGTCTTTTGTGAATTTTCTGTGGTATTTTGAGGTATGAATCACAAGAGAAAGGTTTCTCTCACTGCTATATTTACAAATTTTCTTCCCCTGTGTGTAACCTTGGATGTACTGTGATAACTGATTTCTTGGAGGTTTTCTCACTCTCAATACATTCATAGGGCTTCTCTCTTATGTGTCTTCTCTGATGTACTTTGAGGCCTGAGTTACAACTGAAGGTTTTCCCACAATGATTACATTTATAGGGTTTCTCTCCTGTGTGTGTTCTCTGATGCTTAGTGAGATCTGACTTATGATAGAAAGACTTTCCACATTCGTTACACTTGTAAGGTTTCTCCCCTGTGTGTATTCTCTGATGTACAGTGAGAATGGATTTCTCAGAAAATGACTTCCCACACTCATTACATTCATAGGGCTTCTCACCTGTGTGAGTTCTCTGATGTGATCTGAGGACTGAACTGCAAGTGAAGGTTTTCCCACACTGATTACAGTGATAGGATTTTTCCCCTCTGTGTGTTCGTTTATGTATTGTATAATCTGACTTATGGCAAAAGGTCTTCCCACATTTTTTACACACACAGGGTTTCTCTCCTGTATGAGTTCGCTGGTGTACTGTAAGGTATGAATTCCTAGAGAAGAATTTCCCACATTCCTTACATTCATAAGGTTTCTCACCTGTGTGAGTTCTGTGGTGTTTAGTGAGGTCTGATTTATTGTAGAAGGTTTTTCCACATTCATTACACTTATAAGGTTTTTCCCCTGTGTGGATCCTCTGATGTACTGTGAGGACTGATTTCTCAGAGAAGGATTTCCCACACTCACTACATTCATATGGTTTCTCCTTTGTGTGAGTTCTCTGATGTACTTTTAGACCTGAGTTGCGACTAAAGGTTTTCCCGCACTGATTACATCCATAGGGTTTTTCCCCTATGTGAGTTTTCTCATGTTTAGTGACATCTGACTTGTGACAAAAGGTTTTTCCGCATATCTCACATTCATAGGGCTTCTCCCCTGTGTGAGTTCTCAGATGTACTGTAAGGTAGGAGTTTCTAGAGAAGAATTTTCCACATTGATTACACTCATAGGGTTTCTCACCTGTGTGTGTTTTCTGATGTATTGTGAGGACTGAGTTGCTTATGAAGGTTTTTCCACACTGATTACATTCATAGGGCTTCTCCCCTGTGTGAATTCTCTGGTGTACTGTGAGATAGGACTTATGGTAGAAGCTTTTTCTACATTCCTTACATTCATAGGGTTTCTCTCCTGTGTGAGTTCTCTGATGAATTATGAGGTGTGAACTTCTAGAGAAGCATTTCCCACACTCCTTACATTCGTATGGTTTTTCTCCTGTGTGGATTCGCTGATGTAAAGTGAGGAGAGATTTCCGAGAGAAGCACTTCCCACATTCCTTACATTCATAGAGTTTCTCTCTTGTATGTATTTTCTGATGTTTGGTGAGTTTTGACTTTTTGCAGAATGCTTTTCCACATTTATTACATTCACAGACTTTGTCTCCTATGTATGTTCTCTGAGTTACATTAAGAACTGACTTCTCCCGGAAAGGTTCTCCCAAGTTGTTATATTCAAATATTCTCTCTCCTGTGTCAGGAAAGTCTGATCTCCCATTGAAATTATCCACTCTTTCAATATACTCATAACCTTTCACCTCTAAATGAACTCTGTGTTCCAAGAGAGATGACTTCTCAAAAGTTTTAGCATATTCATGAAACTCATAAGGATTTTCTGTTCTTTGTGCCATCTTATGGACCATGAGGGCTGAATCATTACAGAAAGTTTTATCAAATTCATTATGTTCACAAGGACTCTGTCCTACGTGAGCTTGGTTATATGGGATGACAACTGCCTTCTCATGGAAAGCTTTCCCATATTCCTTATCGCTTTGAATAAAGGATTGTTCTGTATTTTTAATTCTCTGATATGGGATGAAATCTTCATTATGACTGAGGTATTTTCCATTTTGAATGAATTCACAAGGTTTCTCTCCCATTTGAGTTTGTTCATGGTTAATATGAAGGAGCAATTTCCCATATGTATTGAGATCAATAGGCTTCTTACTTAAATAGTTTTTCTTATTAATAATTAATTCTGAAATACATTTCAAATTCATACCACACGAGTCATACCTACAGGGTATTTTTATGGAAGGAACTGTGTCTGTGCTGAAATTAAAAATGCTTCCTAATACATTACCTCTGTGCATAGTCAGTGTTTTGTTGTTGATAAATGGAGGCTGGCAGAAATGTCTGTCCTGGGTTTCTTGATTCTTTTCTAGTTGGTTATCAACTTTGCAGACTTCTAGAAATGAGAAAAACAAACAAACCATAAGCCATGAATCATATCATAATTATGATGAAATTACACTTAAAACAAATGCCCTTTTACATCACTGACTTGGTTTTGTGAAATAAGAGTGATCCAAATAGTCATACTGCCCCATCCTTTTGGATTAAAAAAAATACAACCTGACAGGGTGGAAAAGGGGGATAGAAACTTAGAACACACACATATACATTTGGCAATTTTCAAAGACATATTTCAAGACTTAATATATACATTAGAAATAAATAAAAAGCACGGTGAAGAAAATAGACTTGGAAAAAAAATGGCTCATCTAGGAAGGGGAAATGCAGAAAACTAGAGAGGCCATGAAACTTAGTAGATAAGAGTGCCCTAAAGAAATAGAGGAACAATTTAGGGTGCCTGGGTGGCTCAGTTGGTTAAGCGACTTGCCTTCGGCTCAGGTCATGATCCTGGAGTCCTGGGATCGAGTCCCGCATCAGGCTACCTGCTCAGCAGGGAGTCTGCTTCTCCCTCTCCCGCTCCCCCCTCTTGTGCTCTCTCTCTCTCACTCTCTCTCTTAAATAAATAAATAAAATCTTCAAAAAAAAAAAAAAAAGAAAGAAATAGAGAAACAATTTGATATTTTGAAGGATCAGACTTTACATAATTTTCCTCATACTTACATTAGTGCAGCTAAATTCTCTCTAAACTTTACATGTTTACAGTTTCATTCTCCTTTTAAAATTACTTCTGTTTTGTTATATGTTAATTTAGTATACTGTTAATATCAAATTAAATTTCTGAAAGCACTGATTTCTTTGTGCTTGTGAACAGAGTCCTGTAATGTGGTTTCTAATTTTCCCTCTACTCATGTTACTTATAAAAAATACAAATGTCTACCAGGAAAAGCAAAATCAAAAAGATGAGAACAAGACTGAAACATGACCAAACCCAACAGTTTTAGTTGTGGTATAGTCAAACTTATTTTGTCAGATATGCTACCACCAGATGCTAATTTTTCCCCACTGTAAACTTACTCTGACATAATATTAATAATTTTTTTCTTTTACACCCAGATTTCTACATTTCGTGGGTTGATTTATAACCATGGAAGACCTGACCTAAAACATTCAATGATATATTTATTTACCCTAAGAATTCTCAGCTATACTTCACGTTACCTTCTTGCTCAGTACATACAACGTAACAATGATGACCCTATTTAAAAACCTATTCAGGGCGCCTGGGTGGCTCAGTCATTAAGTGGCTGCCTTCAGCTCAGGTCATAATCCCAAGGTCCTGGGATCGAGTCCCGCATCAGACTCCCTGCTTGGTGGGAAGCCTGCTTCTCCCTCTCCCACTCCCCTTGCTTGTGTTCCTGCTCTTGCTATCTCTGTGTCAAGTAAATAAAATCTTTAAAAAAAACAAAAACAAAACCTATTCAAAGCCCATTGTCTCCAAGCACCATCAGGAGCAAACACACTGCAGTTATAATTTCAGGGGTGGGGGGTAATTTGTCCCTAACCACATACATGTTAGATACTCAAGTGATCACTTCACTAGTCCATAATAAATGTCTTCTTTCTAGGAATGCCAGACTATTAACTTGCCAAAAATCATTCAAGTTCAACCAAGGCTTTTCACTCAGCTGGTTTACATTCCCATTTTGGATTTGCTCAGAACTTCACTCTTTAGGAAAATGACACTGTCTCATAATAAGTCTTCACAAACATCTCTACCATTTCGAGTCCTACTTACATTGAAATTTAAAATTAATCACATTCTATACATCTCATTCTATCAGAATGTTGGATTATACCCCCTTTAAACATAAACATACCCTGTTAACTGCTGAAATTTGAAATACTCAGTAGTCTTTTTTCTTTTCCCAACTACAACCTATGGTGTCAGAAGTATTTATATCTGATTTCCTCTGAATACATGAGTGGACATGAAAGTAATGGTCCTTGTGGTGTGCTTTTTCAAAACAAAGTTCAAGTTTTCTACAAATCTGTAATTTTGAACAAGAATCTACAGGTTTGGGGCACCTGGGTGGCTGAGTCGTTAATGTCTGCCTTCGGCTCAGGTCATGATCCCAGGGTCCTGGGATCGAGCCCCACATTGGGCTTCCTGCTGGGCAGGGGGCCTGCTTCTCCCTCTCCCTCTACCCACTGCTACCCCTGCTTGTGCTCTCTGTCAAATAAATAAATAAATCTTTAAAAAAAAAAAAAAGAATCTACAGGTTTATAACCCAACATGTGCATTTAGAAATTAATTCCTTGTAGTATTTTCTGACTATAAAGGTTCTTGCACTCATCAAGAGGCACAGTTAAGGAATTAAGTAATGATCCAATATCCATTATATGTTATATGACAAAATAAGATATGCTCTCTTTGAAGAAATTATAATCCAGTAATAGCTTCTTCATTCAACATCCATACACTATCAGGAATCAGATTCCATACTAGGTAATGTAAATCAAAGCAAGGAAGGAACATTTTACAAAAGCTGTGGAAAGCTGAGCTTAAATTTAAAAACGTGCTTAAAAACAATGACAACGCTATTAACAATAGGAAAAGTTAACAGGGAAAGTAACCATTACCATGAGCCAAGCACTGTTCCATGTACTTATCATGTATTAATTCACAAGAATCCCCAAGTATGTTAGGAATGAAATGTGGACTTGTATGGCAGGAAAGCATTATCTGTGGGTAATCCTAGGAATAAGGATTAAATGGGAGTTTAGCACCAGTTCTGTGCCACAGAGATGAGATGTAGTCATATTTAAGGGTCACTGGAACACCTGAGTGGCTCAGTTGGTTAAGTGTTCGACTCCTGGGATTCAGCTCAGGTTGTGATCTCAGGGTTGTGAGACTGAGCCCTGCTTAGGGCACCATGCTTAGCACAGAGTCTGCTTGAGATTCTCTCTCTCCCTCTTCTGCTGCACCACCCCACTCATGTGTGTTTGCTCTTAATAAATAAATAAATCTTTTAAAAAAAGGTAAAAAAATATTAAGGGTCATTAAATGAGAAAAACATAAATTTGCTATATTACGTATTGGGGAAAATACAACTCAAGATATTAACATGATAAATTAGATGCTTTGTAGGGCAAAGTGTAATTGCATTTAGGAATTAGAACAAAGAGTAAAACAGAATGCCCAAGTGCTTTGGGTGGTATCAGTGCAAGTGAGAATATAAAAAGAATTTTTTAAAGTTTACAAAAATATAACAATAGTGACCTAACACTAGTAAGAAAGGAAAACAGAAAAATAAAATGATACTAAGTTACAAGAGAAGACTCATAGAAGGTAACAAATGAAGCAGGGAAAATTTATGATTTGTGAATGCTAATTGTGATATTACTTCTTGCCACATTGAAGGGATCAGGATATCCTTTATATTCTGTATATGGGCAGGTATAGAACACTGAATGTCAAGTGGGTAAAAGATGCTAAAAATATAATATGTAGTTAGCAGAATAAATGAAAACCTATTATCTTAGCTATAGCAAGGTATTACTATATTTTGAAGATCCAATTTGACAATTTGTACTTTAACAGGTAAATGTAGTCTGTTTCCATTTATGATTACTGAAAAAAATTCAAGTCGTCTCTCACATTTCACTTGGTACTTTATATTTGTCACAATTTACTATTGATTCTATTGTACTTTCCTTCCTTCTTTTTGACATAATTTCGTATCTTTTCCATTTTTTCTTCTTTACAACTTTAGAAGTTATACACACCTGTTTCTCAGCTTTAGGTGGCTATCCATCACATCATACCATGAATATTTAACCTAAAATCTGGAGTAATTCAGTATCTTAAACCTCTTTTCCTGAAGAACAGAAGCATCAAACTCAATTTGATCACCTCTCACCTCATTTATATGCAGTTATTGCTTTGTGTACATGTTTTTTTAGCTATACACATTAATATCATGTCACTTTATATACCTATTGTTCAGATTTACCTCTATGTTTTGTCATCTCTTAGCACTTACCACTCCTTCTCTTATCTCAAGCATTCTTTTGGGTTTCATTTTCTCTTTTCCTGTAGTATTTCCATTAGAATTTTACAATGAAATTACATAACTAAAGGTACAGCTTCTATAATTTATTTCATTATCAACCCAAATTTTATGATCCACTCTGACACGAACTCTCCTGTTGACTAAACCCTGGTTAGTGTCCTCTGAGCCCTATTCTCAACTAGGCCTTGACTAGGTCTTCCAGGTCTATTGGGGCTGGGCTCAGTTTTAGCAAGAATCTTTTAAGTCGGTCTAGTGACAATCCCCTCACCCTTGATATCTGATCAAGTTCCTTATACCCTGCCCCTGATGTATTAGTGCCTGGTCTGCATTCAGCAAGAATCCCCCTACAGGGGCGCGTGGGTGGCTCAGTTGGTTGGGCGACTGCCTCCGGCTCAGGTCATGATCCTGGAGTCCCGGGATCGAATCCCACATCGGGCTCCCTGCTCGGCAGGGAGTCTGCTTCCCCTCTGACCCTCCCCCCTCTCATGCTCTCTTTCTCCCATTCTCTCTCTCTCAAATAAATAAAATCTTTAAAAAAAAAAAAAAGAATCCCCCTACAGTTGATATTTCTCTTAGTAATCTTCTATCCAGTGATTCCCCCGACTCTGTAAGTCCCCAGCTGTCTTAGCAGTATTTGGAGTTGAGTTCAGCTTTACTGAAACTTATCACCTCCTATTCCAACAGCTACTGAATAAAATCTTTATCTATCACTGTTAGCGGTGGCTGGCTTTATTTCTCATTGAACAGCATGAGCTCAGTTGACTGCTGGAAGAGAAATATGAGTAAAGAGATAAACCCTCTGTGACACAGGCTTGGATGGGCAGCCCAAAGCTGAAAATGGAGCACAGACACTGAGGAAATTCTCCTGACATGAAAGACCCAAGAACTAGGGAACAGTATCAAATACAGCCACACATAAGTAACTGGAGTCCCAAGAAAAAATAAAGGATGAAATACATCAAACCACACATTCAGGAAA